CAAACTGCCGACCTTTCTGATCGACAAGCTCAGTGTCTTAGCCACGCCTTAGCTTTTCGGGTCTATCTTAATCCTGGCAGGGGGTGGGCGGCGGGGCTGAAGACCCCCGCTGAAATTGAAAACCAAGAGGGGGGTTTGAATGGCTCCAGAAATCCCTCGCTTAGCTCCAGCTGCTTAGCTGAAAGAGGGCAGATTTTAGCCAGAGTTGGGTTGGGGGCTCAATCTCAACCCATCTAGTGAAGAGAAGGGAGGGAGGGGGGAATGAGGGGAGTGTTTTAATATTTGAGGGGCTGCCCCAAAGAAGTGGGGGTCCACTTATTCTTCAAAGCACCAGAAGGCAGGACAAGAAGCAAGAGATGGAAACTAATCAAGGGGAGAAGCAATTTAGAACTAAGGAGACATTTCCCGATAGGGAGGACAATTAACCAGGGGGACAACCCGTCACCAGAAGTTGTGGGTGGTCCATCACTGGACGTTTTTAAGAAAGAGACTATAGGGGGTTGGACTAGAAGACCTCCAAGGTCCCTCCCAGCTCTATTCTGATGGATTGATGGATTGAAATGGTCTAAGGTCTCCTGCTTGAGCGGGGGTGGACTAGAAGACCTCCAAGGTCCCTTCCAGCTCTATTCTGATGGATTGATGGATTGAAATGGTCTAAGGCCTCCTGCTTGAACAGGGGTTGGACTAGAAGACCTCCAAGGTCCCTTCCTGCTCTATTCTGATTGATTGATGCATTGAAATGGCCTAGGGTCTCTTGTTTGAACAGGGGGTCGGACTAGAAGACCTCCAAGGTCCCTTCCAGCTCTATTCTGATGGATTGATGGATTGAAATGGTCTAAGGCCTCCTGCTTGAACAGGGGTTGGACTAGAAGACCTCCAAGGTCCCTTCCTGCTCTATTCTGATTGATTGATGCATTGAAATGGCCTAGGGTCTCTTGTTTGAACAGGGGGTCGGACTAGAAGACCTCCAAGGTCCCTTCCAGCTCTATTCTGATTGATTGATGGATTGAAATGGTCTAGGGTCTCCTGCTTGAACAGGGGGTTGGACTAGAAGACCTCCAAGGCCCCTTCCAGCTTTATTCTGATTGATTGATGGATTGAAATGGTCTAGGGTCTCCTGCTTGATCAGGGGGTTGGACTAGAAGACCTCCGAGGTCCCTTCCAGCTCTATTCTGATTGATTGATGGATTGAAATGGTCCTGGGTATCCTGCTTGATCAGGGGGTTGGACTAGAAGACCTCCGAGGTCCCTTCCAGCTCTATTCTGATTGAATGATTGATTGAAATGGTCTAGGGTCTCCTGCTTGAGCAGGGGGTTGGACTAGAAGACCTCCGAGGTCCCTTCCAGCTCTATTCTGATTGAATGATTGATTGAAATGGTCTAGGGTCTCCTGCTTGAGCAGGGGGTT